AAAATAAGTATCCAACCTGCTATAAAGAAATGGAAACATACAATAAATGCTTTGCTTCAATGATCTGTCTTCACAATGATATTTTTCTCTACAGCAAAAATTATTTCAGTTTTTTCAGACTGCAGTATCTATATTGCAAAATAAACCACTCTGAAAAAAAGAGACAACAATACAGTATCAGAGAAAGCAGTATGGCACTGTTATTTCTAAATGGTCTTTAACTTAGCTGTAAAACCTGGAGCAAGTCAGTCGTCTGCTACCTCATCTGTAGGAAATCAATCAATTTCAATTTGCCAAAGAGGGATAAACAAAAATGTGGTACCATTTTTCACTCATTACTTTATATTAAAGCAAAGTACACAACTTAAATAAGCTCTATAACTGAAATAGTTAGCTAAATGAAGTACCCAAAGAATATTTAATAAACAGTAGTGTGCAAAACATTCAACAGTTTTTTAAAAAGATGTATTGCCTTGAGCTAGTGCATCATTAGCCATTCTGAATTAAAAAATTCCTTCTCTTCCTAAACAGATAATCTAAAAAAATTTTCTTAGCAATGCTGAACATTATTAAATTACACAATTACTCATTAAATTACTCAATAAAACCTCATTACTCTATGGATGGAAATGATGTGATACATAGTATGAACAATTTAGCTTACTCCCGTAGGACTGCATACACTGCACATCCTCCAAACACTAACTGTTGAACCAGATGAACTGACATATGCTACTTGGTATACAGTAGGCCTTACTGAATTACTTAAGGCCAAGTGACTGACTTCAGAGCCACATGCTGAGATGTAGCCAGTGATCTGCATTTTCACCCTATCTCCCATCCCCTTCCAATCTGTAGAGCTATATTACTTTGTCACTTTGTTGCCAGGTCGCCTCTCCTCTGCTGTCAGCTCTAGTGCATACGGTCCATTACTGTTACTGATCTCCTTTGCCATTCTCCATCTGGCCACATCCAATTGCTATATTGCTATCCAACACTTCTTTTTTCTATTTCTTCATCATTTTTATCTCTTCTGTTTACTGCACTTCTCGGCTACCAGACAAAAGAGATCTACTTCACAGTCATAGTGCTATTTTGGCTAATCAATACACTCCTTTTCTTCTAAACAAGAGGAAAAAAGTCAAGCAGGTAAGGATGATTTTCAGCTTTTCAGAACTGTTTTCATCAAAGTCTGATACTAAAAGGCTCATTCATTGTTACAAAAGATGCTTTACTGGTTTTTACTTCTAAGTTTGGAGTTACAGCATGTACTTGGTCTACAGACAACTGAAGGTTTTACAATTACAGTATTCCAGATTTAAGAAACTAACAGAAGACAAGGTGTCTGCCTTCTTAATCCTTAAAAAATTTACCCCAAACCAAATTAAACTTAAAAGGTTTTGCACAGCAAAGGAAACCATAAATGAAACAAAAAGACAACCTACAGAATGAGAGAAAATATTTGCAAATGACACGACTGACAAGGGACTAATTTCCAAAATATACAAACAGCTTATACACTTATTATCAAAAAAACAAACAGTCCAATCAAAAAATGGGCAGAAGACCTAAACAGACATTTCTCCAAAGACATCCAGATAGCCAACAGGCACACGAAAAGAAGCTCAATATTGCTACTTATTAGAGAAAAGAAAATCAAAACTACAATGAAGTATCACCTCATACCAGTCAGAAAGGCCATCATTCAAAAGTCCACAAACGATAAATACTGGAGGGGGTGTGGAGAAAACAGAACCCTCCTTCACTGCTGGTGGGAATGTAGTTAGGTGCAGCCATTATGGAAAACAGTATGGAGGTTCCTTAAAAGCTAAAAATAGAGTTACCATATGATCCAGCAATCCTACTACCAGGCATATATCTGGAGAAAACTATAATTCAAAAAGACACCTGTACCTCAATGTTCATAGCAGCACTATTTACAATAATCAAGACATAGAAATAACCTAAATGTCCATTAAAAGATGACTGGATAAAGTTGTGGCATGCATACACACATACACACATACACACACACACACACACAAACACAGGAATACTACTCAGCCAATAAAAAAGAAAAAATAATGCCATTTGCAGCAACATAGATGGACCTAGAGATTATCATATTAAGTGAAGTAAGTCAGCGAAAGACAAATATCATATATCACTTATGTCGAATCTAAAAAAAAAAGATACAAATTATATTTACAAACCAAAAACAGACACAAAGACATAAAAAACAAACCACAGTTACCAAAAGGGAAAGGGCAGGGAGGGAGAAATTAGGGATTGGGGATTAACAGACACACATTACCATATACGAAACAAACAAGGACCTACAGCATAGCACAGGGAACTATATTCAATTTCTTGTAATAACATATAATGGAAAATAATCTGAAAAGAAAAATATACATATATGTATATGTATAACTAAATCACTTTGCTGTACACCTGAAACTAACACTGTAAATCAACTACACTTCAATAATTTTTTTAAATTTAACCTCAAAAACCTACGAAGATTTCTATTAAAATAAGACCTTAAAATAAATGAATAGTGCTCCAAAGATGTATATATAGCCAAAAAGCATATAAAAAGATGCTTAACATCAACAATAATTAGGAAATAAAAACCATTGAGATGCTACTTCATGCCCATTAGGATAGCCATTATTAAAAAAAAAAAGAGAGAGAGAAAATGTGTTTTGTGAGGATGTGGGGAAGTGCTGGTGAGAACGTGGAGAAAATAGAACCTCTGTGTATTGGTGTTATGAATGTAAATAGTGTAGTCACTGTGGAGAACAGTAAAGCAATCCCTAAAAAATTAAACATAGAATCAACACATGATTCAGTACTTCCACTTCTGGGTATAGTCTCAAAAGAAAAACACATGCTACAACAGAGATGAACCTTGAAGACATTATGCTGGGCAAAATAAGCCAGTCACAAAAGGACAAATGTTTTATGATTCCACTTATACGAAGTGTTTAGAGCAGAGATAGAAAATTCATAAAGACAGAAAGTGGACTAGTGGTTGCCTGGGGCTGAGGAGAGGGAGGAATAAGGAGTTAACGGGCATGGAGTTTCTGCCAGGGAAGATGAAAAGTTCTGGAGATAGACAGTAGTGATGATTGCAAACAATATGAATATATTTAATGCCACTGTTTACACTTAAAAATGGTTAAAATGATTACTTTTATGTTATGTATACTTTACCACAATTTAAAAAAAAGAATGAAAAGTAAAGTTGACATAAGTTAGTTTATTTCACTTGTTACTTAGTTATCCATGGCCACTGTATAAACCTAATCTGACCCTAAAACAGACAGCACAAGTTACGTATAACTGAGTAAATAGTGCTTAATTTTGTTAGCGCTAATGAAAAGCTTGGAAACATTTCTACATATCTGAAGACAACAGATTCTCCTCAAAGAGGTCTGTTTGGGAAAGCTGAGAAAAATAGACTGTCAATAAACAAAATCTCTGATGCACACACAAATCACTGAATAAATATTCCTAAGATTTTTAAACCCTGATACCTCCAAGCCTATAACCATTGCTATTCCAAGATACACCAAACATAGTCATGCCTCAGGGCCTTCTTTGTAGCCTAAAACACTGGTCCCCATATACCAGCAGGGCTCACTCTCTCATTTCATTCAGATTTCTACTCAAAAGCCCTCTTACGAGAAAGGCTGATCTTAACCACCCTTGATAGCAATCTGCATAATTCCCTCTCCCCTCAATGTATTTTCTTTTTCTTCATAGCTGTTATCACTACTCAATATATTGCTAATTGCCCTTTTCTGTTTACTACAAGGTAAATTCCAGGGAATACAAAGACTACCTATTTTGTTCACTATTCTAAGCCCAGCACCTAGAACGCTACTTGGCACGATGAAGGAGGCCAGTAAATATCTGTTATTTGATTGAAAAGATGCATGTTCATAGCTTCATAGGCCATACGGCTCTCCTGGCATTAGTACTATTCTACCTTACACCAGCATTGCAGCAGCCACTGCCTCAAAGCCATCCAGAGCATCCCTGGTTTAGACTTCACTAGTAAGTGGAAGGTACACCTAGTTAAAAAGACAGAAGCCTGGTAGCCGTATGTCAAAAAAGTGCTCTCTGACTTATTTTTCTAAATACACTAAATGAAAACAGTTTATCTGTCCCTCACAATGAGGGATAAAAATTAAACACGAAGAATATACCTCTAATACTGCTGTAAGACAAAAAGATAACATACATTGCATCACATTGCACTTTACTTTGATAAACAGTACAAGGCATTCACTAGCCTGAAAACCATAGGATTTTCCCCCTGCAACTTTTCAGATGATTTGGGGAAACAGATCAATGCAATAATACTGCTTGTCAATAAATACAGCCAAAAACTAAGTTACCAGACACTCTGGAGCAGTGGAAGAATATGTTAAATCTCTGGATGAGGGAGAGAGAAGACTGCTTCCAAAATACACCTAACTTTAGTTCAGAGTCCAAAGTATTCAATTAAGAGTTCATCCCAGTGAAATGTCTCACCAGTGCTCATGCATGTTACAAGTTTTGAGAGCATTTTACAAATGCACTCTAATCTTCTGTCTGCAGTGAACGGTTTCTGGTAAAGCTTTGGCAGGTGATGATAATTTCTGTAGAAAAAAATCTTTAACCATTGAACCTCAATACCTCCCCTCCTGAAAAAGCGTAGGAAGGCCCGTTGAGCTACAATCTCTATGCTGCCAGAACCCATACGTCCAAGTGTAAGGAGACTCATCCTGGGAACACATGTGTCCTGCCCCGCGTGGTAAGTGGCAATGGCAAGTGGAAGCTGCCCATCAGCGGGGTCCCAGACACAGGGTACAGGTGTCCGCAAGAAACGCAGCGTGGTTCGGGGCAGCCCCTAGCCCCCGCGCCAGCGACCCCCGCCCGAGACGAGCCAGGCCAGCCCCCTCCTCTAATATCGGCCAGGGCCTGACCCCGCCAAACGCGGGTCCTACCTGAGCTCTGCCCCCAGCTACAGGGCTGCGGGGGGAGGCGGGAAGAGGCGTGGCCTTCCAGTTCGTCTGTCGAACTCCCTCGTGCGGTTGTTATGACTTTCCCTCTCGGGATCCGCGCCCTGACCAAGTTCGAGTTGCACTTCCGGGGTCCGCAGGAGACTGAAACGTCATTGCGCACGCGACGGCGGCGGTCACGACAATCCGGAAATAGGCGGGGCGTGGTCGCTGGGCTGGTTCCTGTGGCGGTAGGCGGGCTGGGAGAGAGAGGCCGGTGGGAGGTAAGAGTTGTCTTGTACTTTCCCTACGGACTCTCCTCGGCTTTGCGTCGCCCTATAATCGGAAGTGAGGGACACCCCTTCCTGAGTAGCCTTAGAGCGCGGGGCCTGTGTGAAGCCTTGTTCTCCAAAAATTTAAAAAACATTTGCGGGAGTGTCGTTGCAGCTAATTGCCCACTCTCCCACTCACGGCCTATCCTGCATCACTTGGTCTATTCAACTCAGAAAAGACAGGAGGTAGGAAAATCTAGATTTAGAAAATTAAATTTGCCTCTGAATTATGACTTACATAAAATAGGTAGTTAAGTATAAACTTCCCGACACTGCTCTTTTTCCTGAGTACTAGTAGGATAAATTGGAAACAGCTGTGGAGAGCTATGGTCCCATTCCCTAACAGGGGGTTGGCAGGTGATGATAATTTTTGTTCTAAACTCAGCTTTTATGGCAAAATCCCTGATAGTAAAAGTCACCCATGAAAATTCCCTAAGTACAGAATGCATATGTTAAGCATAAACTCTAGATCTGTAATTCTTATGCACACTTGAATGTGAGGCCTCTTAGGTAATTTATATGTTAGAATGAAAGGGGAGTTTGTAGATACCAGGGCATTTAAACAATCCTGATAAATCCAAGAGGCAACTCTTAGTCTTCATTTTGCTTAAGCATTCAGCAGCATTTGACACAGTTAACGACAAACTCTTTCTTGAAACTTGAAGCACTTTCTTCATTTGACTTTTGTGAATTCACAGGGCTCTTTTGATTCTCCTTTGCCGGATCTTCCTCATTTCTTAATTTTCGTGTGCCCCAGATCTCTTTCCCCTTTTAGCCGCCTTCATTCTCCAGGTGATTTCATTAATTCCCTTCATTGTCTTTTATACCGCATTGCTATGATGATGGCTTCCAAATATCCATTTCCAGTCACGATTTCTTTGATTTCTATACTAACATATATAACTTTTATTCAGCATTATCTATTAGGATATTCAACATGCATTCCAAACTATATTTTGTATCTCCAGAACCTGTTCCCCCGTTCCTGTTGCATATTGTTACATCTCAATAAATGGCACATTGATTCTTACAATTGTTCAGGTCATACTTTGATTCTTCTCTCATGTTTCACATTCAATCCCTCAGCAAAATCTATTGGCACTCTTTTCAAAAGGTATCCTAATCTAACCAATTCTCACCATCTCTGCAGCTATACTCTAGTTATTACTTGGTGCTCTAATTGTCTTTTAATTGTTCTGCATGCTTCTGTTCTTACCTCTCTACACTCTAGTCTCTAATTGGCAGCTATAGAAATTCTTTTGAAATGCAAATCAGAATTTGTTACGTTCCTTATCAAAACTTTTAAGAGTTTCTCTATTCAAATGGAATAAAATCCAAAATTGTTTTCTTCATAAACCCATAAGAGTCTGAATGATCTGATCCTGGGCCATCCTATGTTGCCTTTGAGGAAGGAGGTGATAAGAGATATTTTAGAAATAGGGATGGGAATTTGGCCAATTATCTTGGAATTTGGGAAATGGCAATCTTAAAGATGATTTCCCAGCTCTTGCTTGAAAATATTTAAAGGCAAGAGACTGAGGGTTTCTGCAGTGACAGAGTAAAGAGATAATAATTGTCACATTTTCCCAGCAGCTAGTGGGTGCATGGCTGGGTGTATTAGTTTTCTAGGAGTGCTGTAACAAAGTACCTGAAATTAGATGGCTTAGACAACAGAAATTTATTGTCCCACAGTGCTGGAGGTTAGCAGTCCAAGGTCAAAGTGTAGGTAAGGTTGGTTCTTTCTGAGGGCTGTGGGGGAGAATTTGTTCCATGCCTCTCTCCTAGCTTCTGGGGGTTTGCTGACAATCTTTGGTGCCCCTTGGCTTTAAGATGCATCACTCCAATCTCTGCCTTTATCTTCACGTAGCATTCTCTGTGCGTGCTATCTCTGTCCAAATTTCCCCTTTTTATGGGAACATCAGACATATTGAATTAGAGCCCATCCCAGTGACCTCATTTTAACTTGATTACCTGTCTAATGACCTTATTTCCAAACAGAGTCACCTTCTGAGGTACTGGGCATAGGACTTCAGTGTATCTTGTTTGAGAGAAACAAACACTAGGATAGAATTGTTTTGGAAAAGAAGAGAAGCAACTCCCGTAGAAAGAAAGGAGAAGCAAACAAATAAACAGAATGAGGTTGTGTGAAGTAAGCCACCAGAAGAGGAACCATATAGGAATTTTGAGGTGCTGGCTAGAGCATTTGTCCCATGTATCAGGGAATGGCAGTGTTGGAGTTCCTGGAATTGGGTGAACCTCCAAAAGAAAAATATAGAAAATACCTGATGACAGAAAGCACCAGCAGCTGGGCGTTTGTTACCAAGGGGACCACAATCACAATTTACAATAGCCTTTTCTTCTCACTCCTGAGCTGACACTGAAGGACCTTAAAGTAACAGAATAAGTGTGGGATAGAGAGAAGTAAAAGGTAGAGAAACAAAGGCAAAACAGACCATACCCGCTTCCTTCTAGCCATGTTTTTGGGTTCAGGACTCTGCTGGGAAAGAGGACTGTTTAAAGTGATTTAGAGCTTTCCAGTTCAGTATGTAAAGAGTTTGGACCTTGGAAATGAGCCATTTTTATCTTCACAACAAGGAAAAATGCTGAACAAACTAAAAATCAACATCTCTTCTTAGACCCTTCAGAGAACTGAAGTCACAGGGAAAACTGCTGCCCCCAAATTGAAGAGACAGAGAAGTAGTTTGAGACCTTCTGTGCTTCCTCTACCTGGATATCTTATGCCTTCTTCAGTTTTGGAAAGTTTTCAGCCATAATTTCCTCAAATACATTTTCGACCTCCTTCTCTCTCTCCTCCTCCTCCTCCTTGGATCACTAAAATTCGAATGTTGGTATGTTCAATGTAATCCCAGAGATCTCTTAAAATGTTTTCATTTTTTAAATTTCTTTTTCTTTTTGCTCTTCTGATTAGATGATTTCCATTATTCTGTTTTCCAGATCACTTATACATTCTTCTGTATCTGTTATTCATTTCTTCTAATGTTTTTTAAATTCCAGTTATTTAATTCTTTACTTCTGATTGGATCTTTTTTAGTATTTAAATGTTTTGCATTATACTGAACTTGCTATTTTTTTAACTGAAGTATAATTGATTTAAAATACTGTGTTAGTTTCAGGTGACAGCTAAGTGATTTGGATATATATATTATATCCAAATATATATATAAATCCAAATATATATAGTCTTTTTACAGTTCTTTTCCATTACACTTTATTACAGGTGTTGACTATAATTCCCTGTGCTATACAGTGAATCCTTGTTCTCTATTTTAAATATGGTAGTATGCCTCTGTTAATCCCATACTCCTCATTTTTCTTTCCCCTACCCCCTGCCCTTTTGGTAACCGTAAGTTTGTTTTCAATCTCTGTGAGTCTGTTTCTGTTTTGTAAATGTGTTTGTACTATTTTTTAGATTCCACGTATAAGTGAAATCTTATATTTGTCTTTCTCAGTCTGACATACTTCACTTCATATGATAATCTCTAGGTTCATCCATGTTGCTACAAATGACAGAATTTCATTCATTTTTATGGCTGAGTAATATTTCAGTGTGTGTGTGTGTATCAATCACATATTCTTTGTTCATTCTTCTGTCAGTGGGCATTTAGGTTGTTTCCATGTCTTGGCTATTTAAATACTGTCACTGTGAACAGTGGGGTTCATAACTGCATGTGTCCTTTCAAATTTGAACTTTATAGATACATGCCCAGGAATGGGACTGCTGGATCTTATATTAAATGTATTTTTAGTTTTTTAAGGAAACTCCATACTGTATTCCATAGTGATTGCACCAATTTACGTTCCCACCAACACTGTAAGATGGTTCCCTTTCTCCGTACCCTCTCTAGCATTTATTATTTGTAGACTTTGGTGATGGCCATTCTGACTAGTGTGAGGTGATAACCTCATTTTAGTTTTGATTTACATTTCTCTAATAATTAGCCATGTTGAGCATCTTTTCATATACCTGTTGGCCATCTGTGTGTCTTCTTTGGAGAAATATCTATTTAGGTCTTCTGCCCATTTTTTTTTTTATTGGATTTTGTTGTTGCTATTGAGTTATATGAGCTCTTCGTGTATTTTGGAAATTAATCCCTTATTAGTTGCATTGTTTGCAAATATTTTCTCCCAGTCCATAGACTGTTTTTCTATTTTATTTATGGGTTTACTTTGCTGCGAAAAGCTTATAAGTTTGATTTGGTCCCATTTATTTTTGCTTTTATTTCTTTTGCCTTGGGAGGCTGACCTAAGAAAATGATACTATACTTTATGTCAGAGAATGTTTTGCTTATATTCTCTTCTAGGAGTTTTATAGTGTCATGTTTTGTATTTAAGTCATTAAGCCATTTTGAGTTTATTTTTGTGTATAGTGTGAAGAAGTGTTCTAACTTCATTGATTTATGTGCAGCTGTCCAACTTTCCCAACATCAGTTGCTGAAGAAATGTTTTTTCTCCATTGTGTATTCTTGCCTTCTTTGTCAAGTTTAATTTACCATACGTGTGTGGGTTTCTTTCTGGGCTCTCTGTTCTGATCCATTGATCTGTATGTCTGTTTTTGTGATGATATCGTGCTGTTTTGATTAGTGTAGCTTTGTAGTATTGTCTGAAGTCTGGAAGGGTTATAAATCCAGCTTTGTTCTTTCTATTCAATATTGCTGTGGCAATTCTGGGCCTTTTGTGGTTCCATATATTTTAGGATTATTCTAGTTCTGTGAAAAATGTCACAGGTAATTTGGTAGGGGTCACATTAAATCTGTAGATTGTTTGGGTAGTATGGCCACTTTAACTATATTGATTCTTCCAATCTAAGAACATGGGATATGTTTCCATTTCTTTAAATCATTTTAAATGTACTTTATCAATGTTTTATTGTTCTCAGTGTATAAGTCTTTCATCTCCTTGGTTAGATTTATTCCTAAATATTTTGATGTGAT